TTTTTTTGTTTTTTTGTTTTTTGTTTTGTTTTTGTTTTTGTTTTTGTTTTGTTTTGTTTTGTTGCTTTTTTTGTTTTGTTTGTTTTAATCAAAAAATGTCTATATAGATCAATTTAATTTAATTTACGAAAAAAATACTGCCAAATCAGTAACGATTTTGATGTACTACGAATTACAACATTCAGTATACTGCATTTATCAAATACGGGCGTCTATTAATTTGGGGTAGCTATTTTTCATTTATTACAATTGACCGCGCAACGTCTGAAGTGGCTTATCAAATGAAAACAACAATAAAATAACTGTTTCGACGATTCTGTATTCTATTTGTTTAAGATACTGCCGCTAGTTTAATCATAGTAATAAATAAGTGTTTCAATAAAAAAAAGTGTTCGAATATTGTTATTTTTACCCACTCAATAGTTTTGTTTTCGTTGAGGATTTACGAATTGGGTTACCTTTGCAAAGGGCTGTCAAGACTTTCGTCTCAAAGCTGCTCGTTTTGTTAATTTAATTTCTGTTTTTGTTAACCGACCTCAGAATTGAGGCTAGGCCAGCATACACTGGAGTTTTAAGAGTCGTTAATTTCGTAGCCTGAAATTAAACGAATGCCGTCAAAAAGTCCAAATCATTTCCCTCCAAAAGGTGGTGCTTGGTGACTTCTATCCTATATGCAGGACAATATGTTTGGGCTTCCCGTGTCTAGGACAAACGTCGGGCATGCGCAGAATATACAGATATAGGAAAAAACATGGTTGTAGTTGCTAAATTGTTCGAATTATTAAAGCGTATATTTTCCACCGTTTATTCTCGTTTACATATACACCTCTCTGTCAAGAAAGGTTGTAGAAGCCAAAGGAGATAGCTGGAAGTACTTATGATCAGTTGTGTTTTTTTCATTTGTTTTCTTCTAGAACGTTCGATTATCGATGATTGATGTTTGATATCTGGTATTAGTATTTTTATACAAGTGAATATGATAAATCCTGCGCGCTTATTGGTCACAATTTACGTATATAACGCGAGCCGCGCGCACGCTCGTTTGTCAATTTGTGCGGCTTACAGAGACAAATAGAATTTGAAAGGAAAGGTCTATCCGTTATTTATAAATTCACGTGTGTTAAAAATACTATTAAAACATTATTTTTAGACCGTCCCAAGGGGCGTATGATTTCTACATTAGGGGCTCGTTCTTTTTATGCTGCTGCCCCCACATTGTGGAACAGCCTTCCTATGAATATTCGGGAAATTAGATCACTTGGCGTTTTAAAAAAACAGCTTAAGACATATCTTTTTATATAGCTTACAATAGGTAATTTGTATCAATTCTAACATAGTTTTCTATTATAGTTTATTTTCCTTATACATATTATATTTATATATACATATATATCTTTTCCTCGTTAGTTTTTTATAGTTATATCTTATATTTATCATAAGTATTGTATATATATGTATATTCATATTTTATTAATTCATTCATGTAAAGYGCTTTTSATCATTTTAATGTTAAAAGGCGCTATAGTAAGTTAATAAATTATTATTATTATTATTATTATTATTATTATTATTATTGGTATATGTTTCATGTTTGATATGATATTGATGTCAAGAAGTATGCTAATAATTTCCTTTAAAAATATTTTCAGAATCGAAAAGGTCTATACAGCTATTTCAAAAAAAGGTTGTATACTGAATACTGCATACTGAATAGTGCATTCCAAGACCAAAGGGAATTGTGGGTTATAGTGACATTGTCCAAAGTAGGATAAATAATAATTATTTATTATATTTCTAGTGTATTCCATCTGAAACAATATACTAACTACATGTAGAGAGTTAATTGCTGTATGTTTACTTCTTATTTCAAATTAACGAGACCCACCACGTCCTTTGTTCTTGGAATGCACTATTCAGTATTCAGTATTCAACCTTTGTTTTGAAATTTTGCAGTTTCCGAATCTTGTTTCTCAATGCGTAAAATATTATAAAAAAGGGAAAAGGGGAGGAACCTCGTATCATGAAATAATTTTTTTTTCCTGACAAAGAGCCTATACGCTATTTCGCGTCATGAATTATAATATATTTAATAAAGTATAAATACATCAAGCGAATATTCTCAGATAGATTCCAATTTGACGTGTTTTTCCGAAGTTCCTAGGCTTAGATTACGAACGACTAGAAAAATTGTTCATGAGTACAGACTGCCTGACACGGGTTATATTCCCGGTATTTTTTTATTTCTTTCTTTCTTTAATCTTCCAGCTAATTACGAATGATAATCGACCGAAAGTTACGAGAGAAAAAAACCTTGGAAAAAAACTAGATAATAGTTTTAAGTCACCCATCCTACTGGTACTTACTTGGCCCAACCGAACTTGACTCAGTGACATTGAAGCCAAAGCTTTTTTCCACTGCATGGGCCACACAATTACAGCAATCAGCATAGCAATACTGAGCCTTGAAAACAATGCACCAGATAGACTAGACTTTTTAACAATATTTTCTCAACCGATCTCGTACGTGGCAGAGATGCAAGGGATTAGCCGATATGGTCTGGGGGCCGGCTGGTCTCTCCCCTGATGCTTTGGCTAGAACATTTTCTTGCGTAATTCGTACACCCAAGGGCAGAAGGATTTGATTGACAAGTGCACGACCGAACGACTTGTACACGCCTTCATCTCGTCTTGTCTAGATTACTGTAACAGTATTCTTCTTGGCCTTCCAGCTTATCTCATTAAACCTCTCCATAAAGTACAAAACTCAGAGACTTGCCTTCCGCTCTAAGACATCTGACTCTGTCATAACTTTTGACCTTATAGTGCCTTTACAGCCTTGCTCTCGATTACTCTCTCTGACCTCCAGAAGTTGTACTTGCCTGGTCGTTCCCTGGTCGTTCTGGGCAGTGGTAGTGGTCGGTAGTGTTCGGTGGTATTGGGTGCTAAGAGACGACGGAGGTCTGGGTCCAAGCAAAGCAGACATCTCTTACTGGTCGTACACATGCAGGGGAAAAAAAGTGTTGATAACTATTTTTTTATAACCGCGGTTTATGAAAGTCAACTGAAACTGGCTCCATTGATCATTTCCTTGCCTGCCAATAGCCAGAGATAAGTTGACTAAACAGAACTTTTCCTAACACATGCTAAGCTGGGTCAATAACAGGCCTCGTCATTATGGTATGTGTACTCTATAGCGTCACTAAATAAACTCTGGATAAACTTTGTCGGAAAAAACAAAGGAGGCCTAGGTGTTTCATTGTGTGGGATGTGTTTGTGTTGATTTCTACTCCAATTACTGGAAGCACGGGTGCAGGCGGTACCATCATCTCACCGGTTCTAGTCTTGAGAGTTGCTTGTTGGTTCTCTCCTGCATTGCTTCCAGAGTATTATTCGGGTTCTCCGGTGTTCCCTCCCGCCCCGAAAAATGAATTATAAATTCAGAAAGATAAAGAAAAGAAAAGAAAGAATCTTGTATATAGTGCCCCGGGAAAAAAACCGTTTCGCAGTACTCCTGTTTCGAGTTCTCTTTGCTCAGCCTTAGTTTAGGTTGTGCGTTATGAGACAACTTTCATAACTCAGTTTTTTCAGATAGAGAAAATGAAGCCTTTTTACCAGAAACTATTAATGCTATTTGAAAAAATGCTTCACCAAAACTATTTCCAGTAACTTTTGTAGAATTTGACGGCATACCAAAGAAGTTATGAAAGAACGAAAATGGAGAGTTTTGTATGTATTTATCACTGGAAGCCTTGGTAGCCTCGTTTTGGTGCATTTTCAAAACTTCAAATGCTCACATCTTGTAAAGGATTTATTAATTTAAGTAGAAACTCACACGCCTTAGGAAATATAATAATATCAGTTAACAAGACCAAACCTTCACCCTTCTTCAGTGTGACCGGTTTGCCATAAATACAGCAACCAAGATTAACGGGCCTACTAAAATAAACTAATAAACTAACTTAAGGTGATACATTTGTTATACGTCGGCTGCCTAGCCATGCAATTAGTTTGGTTCTCGATATATATACAGCGATATGCAGAAATTCTGATCCTTTTGTGTATACATAAAAGTATGTCAAAAACATATTGGAAATTATGGGGTACCATCTCTGATATTTTTTTCAGAAAGCCCTAGTGCGATAGGCAACCCGAAAAAAATATCAGCGATGAGATCTCATAATTTCTGATATACTTTTGATATACTTGTATATATTAGAAAAGGATCAAAATTTCTGCATATGGCTGTAAATATATATATTTTTTGTCATTAATAGTCATAATAGATATGTCATAAATAATTTTCGTTTTAAATGAGCGTTAAGCTACCAATCCGACAAATATTCCCAAAATGTATATTTATTCTATAAGACGATAGCGGAGAGCGAGCTAGCTACCTTGACGTTATGAATGAGTGAAATAAAAAAAAAAGAATAAAAGGTTTACACCTATTTGCAAGAACGTTGTCATACGAAAATAGAACACTAGTGATTTAGTGGGATAGGAATTGTATTAAAAAATAAAGGAAGATCAATGAAGCTCTGAACGAACTTTTTCTTTTGTCTTTTAAAGTATTCCTTTCTCACTAAATTACTAATGTTCTAATATCGTATGACAACGTTCTTGCAAGTAGGTGTGTGTGAAACTGCCAAATCCATAGGTTGACTCTTCTTTCAGTGAATTAAACTCAAATTTAAGTTTATTCAAAGATGTTTTTAAAGGAAAAACCTGTTAAGAGCATAGTCGAATCAACAAGCAACTTTGTCCTCTTAAGATACCGAGCTTGGCAACCCAAAACAGTTTTGCTGTTAAGAAAACGCTCTGGTTGCTACGTTTTTGTTGCTACAGAAAACACACGAGAACTATGTAAAAGTATCTTAGCTTCATTTGACCGTTACTGCAAGTCATACTTCGATTTCCCCCGCCTATAAAAACCGTTTTAATGGTATTATGAAACCCAACTTCTTGATATTAATTGTACAGTCTTCAAGCATTACAATAAAAAAAGCAAACATTAAAGTTGGTGTTTAATTTATCATTGGCAGCTCTATTCAAATGTCTTTGCTAATGACTGGATGAATGACGGATTAATTGTCCTTCGCTTTCATCGATATAGTTTATTTGCAGCAGACGTTGACCTGAAATAACCTTATACAAAAGAGACCCTGAGTGTGGAAAAAACTTAACAAACACAGTCGTGCATTCTATTGAGCCAATCAAGTATATCAAAATCTAGTAGCTGTCAGCTGAAGTAACAATTCTGGGTATAAAGCTGGAGAGGTGAAGGACTGTAGGTTCATTGGTTGATCATCTATCGTACTACGAAATTGTACGCCATGATTTTTTGTCTTGCTCTCGTCCTTGCCCTTTTGGGGCCCTCTCTTTCAGAAGGTAATATCAATAGATGTACGAATTTCTTGTAACTATATTGATATATATTACTCTTATATTTATATCTTTATCTAAGAACCTGAGTAAAACTAGTGTAAATCTAGGCACTCATGCATTTTTTTCAATTTTTTTTTTTTTTTCATTTTTGGTTTTTCATTTTAACTTCTGGTTTTTTTTGTTCTTTCTTCTTTTTTACCTTTTAACTTATGTAGTTTCTTATTCCTTCTTATTTAATATTTTAATTTTCAAAAATGTAGGGCAGAACTAATCAATAGAACAAATCAGAATTGAAACTTTAAACTTATCTTTTTTTAATGAGGAATTTTCATCATTCCAAATTCGAACAGGTTTGTTCATTATTGCTTCTGATCCCACGGCCTGTATTCCGTCTCGTTTCGTGCTTTTTTCTGATTTATTTTCATTTCTTCGTTAGTAACTTACATTTCTTTACAGCATTTTTTTTATTTCGCTGTGTTTCGTGCATTTTTTCTGATTTGTGATCAGTTCTTTTTTTAGTAACTTACATTTGTATAAAGCAATTAATTCCCTTTAATTTCGTTTCGTTTCGTGTTTTTTCCTTTCTGTTTTGTTCTTCCTTGTCAGTGCCTTACATTTGTATAAAGCATTTATTTCGATTTCGTTTTCGTTTCATTTTATTTTCGTTAGTCTTACTACATTTGTATAAATTTCGAATCCCAATACTTTTCGTTTTTAGAACTTAATATTCATCTTTTTCATAAGTGGCATCATTCTTGATTTTTATTTCATTTAATTTCATTCGTATTACGTTTCGCTTTCAATTCTTTCCACTTCTGTTTATATCATCACTTGCCGTATTTTTTATACTTATTTATATACTGTATTGCTTCTTTTCAGCCTGTGGTGCTAAGCCATACAGTGCTCGTGTTGTTAACGGAGAAAATGCCCAGCCACACTCCTGGCCCTGGCAGATTTCTCTCCGTGTGAACGGAAGACATATCTGTGGTGGATCTCTGATCAGACCTGACTGGGTTGTCACTGCTGCTCACTGCGTGGATAGAAACCCAAGACCAAGTGGCTACACCGTTGTTGTTGGTTAGTATAACTCTTTAAGAAGTGGGAAGAGAGGGAGAGGGAGAGGGAGAGGGAGAGGGAGAGGGAGAGGGAGAGGGAGTTTAAAAATAGTTAGAAATGAGTCAATAGTCTCCTTCACGGTTAATCTACCATATAGGATGAATTATAATAATGAATATAGAAACGAGCCGAGCCGTGAGTTGTTTCTTGTTCTGTTGATCGCCTATAGGCCGGAAAATAATGTTACAGGAATCAAGCACATGAAAATTGAAAGTTTTTCTATGGAAAGCAGAATAAAGCACGATGATACTCCTGCAATATATACGAATCATACATTTTGGGCTATTCCAGCTGAAATGTTGAGCGAACAATAAATAAAGAAAAAAGAAAAAAGAAAATTCTTATGATAGAGATGACTATTAAGTACTCTTTCAATGATTTCTAGGTGCACACACCAGAACTGGATCTACCGCTGTCCAGCAAACGTTCCGTCTCAAACAGCTCTTCAAACACGAAGGTTTTAGCATGAGGCACCTTAGGAACGACATAGCTCTACTTCAACTTAATGGACAAATCAGTGCAAGCTCCAAGGTTAACACAGTCTGTTTACCACAAAAAGGAAGCCGAGTGCCGGCTGGTACAGGGTGCTATATAACAGGTAAAGTTTTTATGGGAGTTTATGGCTCTCCGCGTGAAATAGAGCCTTTAAGTTGTGACGTATTTCCCGTTCCAACTGTTGACCAAAACGGCCAAAATAAAGCGAAAATTCTCTCAATGATTTAACCTCCATCCACCTTAGAACTTTGGAAACAAATGTTGTCTTGAAGAAAACTCAAGAAAAATATTTATAGAACTGTTTTACCTTTTGAAACCGGAAGTCATTTTTCCATACGATTGACTTCAAATGCAGTTAAGGCAAGTTGTCTAATCCTTTCAATTAGGGCAATTTTCATCATTAAACACAGCTTAGAATACTTAGGCCTAGGGCAAACGTCGAAAATTCCATGCACCGAACTCATTAAAAACAATGGATATAAGGTGATAATGAGGCGGCATTCTTTGATGTAATTAAGTTCGGTGCATGGAAAGTTCGACGTTTACCCTAGGCCTTAGGTGTTTGGAAAAAAAAAAGTTTGATTCTTATAATGACTTTAATGCTTCGTTGTTGATTTTTTTTTTTTTTTTGTATCTTGAAATATGATAAAGAATATTTTCAGTTCAAAAGGTGCAGTAGTATTGAAGTGAATTAAATTGCTGCTCTTTTCTAACCAATTGCACAAATTTCAAACTAGGTGTGTACGGGACTAGGCTATAGCTGCTTCCATTCGATTGCTGTCGTAATTTCAGCGGCCCTCTCCAAAGACCTAACGTTTTTTTGTTTGTTTGTTTTTTTTGTTTGTTTTTTGTTTTTGCTTGGAAAGAGAACGGAAAGTAAACAAGTCCGAATACTTGCCAAACTAAATATTGTTAAACTGGTTCGTCTCTGTCGTAATTTCAGCGGCTCTCTCCAAAGACCTAACGAGGTTTTTTTTTTTTTCGCTTGTAAAAAGAAAAGAAAGTAAACAAGTCAGAATTGATTATACTTGCCAAACTAAATCTTGTTAAACTGGTTCATCTTGCAGCACAAGTCAACTAGGTCCAATGACTAATTGTGAATTGTTTGTAAACAGGTTGGGGTCGTACTGTTGGTGGTGGAAGTGCTGCTGGCATCCTCCAGCAAGCTGTCCTCCCTGTCTCAAATGATAATGCATGTGTTCAAAGAAACGGCTATTTGGTGCCCGTTGATCCAAAAAGCATGGTCTGCGCCGGTGGGCAAGGCAAAGGTGGATGCCAAGGAGACAGTGGTGGACCATTTGTCTGTAACGAGGGTGGTCGATGGGTTCTCCGTGGTGCCGTCAGCTGGGGACACAGTCAATGTCGTACTGATCATTACACTGTCTTTGCTCGAGTCAGCAGCTTCATTGATTGGATCAACCAAAAGATGACAGGTACGTAGGCATGTTTTTGGCTTAGAAAGGCCACATAATAAATATAAATTCCTTGTTGATGACAATCGAAAAAACCCTCACAATGATGATGATGAGCCGGATGACGTTAATGATGATGATAACGATGATGATGATGATCAGATGATTATTGATAATATGCAAAGAAGAAGAAGATGATGATGATGATGATTGTAAACAAGTAAGGATTAATTATAAGTTATGGGTGATGTTGAAAATGATGATGATGAAAGTGGTGATTAGGTGACAATAGTAGTGTTTGGGAAGTTTACGATTATGACGGTGATCAGGTAGGATCGAAGGGAATGAGTGGAGATGTTAGTAGCAACGATGATGAAGGATGGTGAAGATGAACGTTAGATGGTAGTAATTGCGGGGTTGTCGTTAGTGATAGTGCTGATGCCCAAGGAGGACATGATACCTGAGGAGGAGAATGCTAATGCTGGTGGGGATAATGAAAAAATACAAGCTGCAGTTGTACTATTCATGCTGGTTTTTAAAATGTGCATTTGTATCCACTTTTATTATATTCTTTCCCCCCCCCCCCCCCCTTTTTTTTATTTATTTATCTCATACAGGAGGAGGAGGAGGTGGTGGTGGAGGAGGAGGATCAAGTATGTATTATAATATTAATGTGCATAAATCGCTCTGTAAAACTTGACTACAGACTTATAAGGGACCGTGCGTTTTTTTAGGGGCATGGAGGGTTGATTAGATTGGGGAGGGGGGGGGGAGTTTAACCATATAAATCATAAATAAATAATCAAATAAAACTGTAACGTAAAGAACTGTATGAGTATAACATTTTACCAATATTTTGAAATCCCAAGCAAACTTTCAAATAGTAAAATGGTAACTTATAAATGGGTCTGTGATTATCAAAAACAACGGTAATCATCTCAATAAGAAACTGAGAGCAGGTTATGAGAACGAGAGAGAGAAAGAGAGGCTTAATGTCGGCGCATGCGCTGTCACCACCACTAGTAGAAGGTTTTTGTTCTTTTTTCCTTGGCAGGCGCTTTTGAAATTCATTTCACCTGCCGAGATTATGAATAAAGGTTATAATGATTTTCCAAATATCAGGAAAATTGTATTGAGCCCCAGCACTAAAAAGATCCCCTCGTAATAAGTCCCCAATCAAAAAGCATTGAATAAGAATAAGCCATCGATGAGCTTAAAGTGTATATCAAGGAAATTTTTTTTCTTTCAAAATCACTTGTATGTGAATAGTGTAGTACTATGGTTGCAGTATTTTTGTATGTAAMATTTTCTCTTAGGAGATATAAACATTTGAAATATCAATATGCAAATGAGATGACGTAAATTCAAGACTAATTTATTATACAAAAATGCTGTTGTGGAAAGTACTGCTTTTTTTTCATTTGCAAATCATCCTTATAACTGAAATATATGACTATGTACACTTTTAGATTATTTCACTTCAGAACACTTGTCGTAAATTACACTTCAAAATGTACCACATTCTTGAATTTACGTCATCTCATTTGCATATTGATATTTCAAATGTTTATATCTCTGAAAAGAGAGGTCCACATACAAAAATACTGCAACCATGCTGCTACACTGTTCACATATAAGTGATTTTGAAAATATTTTTTCCCTTGATAAACTTTAATTGAAGAAATACGGTATTCAGCCTACTTATTGTTACTTTGATAATTTTAAGGTTGCGTGGATAAGCACCCAAATTGTAGATACTGGAGACATTACTGCTCTTATCATCCATATGTAAGAGCCAATTGCAAGAAGACATGCAGCCTGTGCTAAGGTAACAAATGAATGATAGTGGTATGGAAGGGGGACTTACGTTGGTGCATGCGACACCTTTGTCCATCAAGTCGTTAATATATACTTATTTTAATAAAGTTAGTCACCTAAAAAGTTATAAAGCTGAGGCAGACAAGGATAATGGGTAGATACACTTTACATGTTTCCACCGATTGATAACTGTTGATGGACTTGAACATCTTTTACCAGTTACAGTCTCACCTCTTCTGAGCATCCTCAAGCTGCAGTTTGTATCAAATAGTCTTACTTTGAAATGAATTGTTTCCCGTGATCCTCAGTGATCTCAGCTTTCTAGGTTTTTGGTGGCTAACTTTATTGAAATAAGTATATAGAGCGTTTTCACTCACTTGAGAAGGCAGCCATAAACAATAGAAACTTTCTGCACAGTATTTGCATAAAAATAGAGTTCCCGGAGGATAGAAAATGTATTGATTTGGTACCCCATAATGGCGGCTGTGACGTCAAGTAAAAACGCTATATATAGACCATGCATAAATTATTGTGTATAAAATATAAAATATAAAATGTATTAAAAACCCTTTACCAATAATATATTCACTGTCTTTGTTTTCAGGCCATAAGCCCGAATAGCCTTGCATACCTGACAATGAACCAGTAAATAGACAATTACATATTTCAGTCATCAATAAAACGTGCTGTCTAAGAAAAAAGTCTCCATTTTCTTTATTTAATCATCGTTTTTCTTTGTAAATGAGCGCGAGCAGTCGAGCCGAACACTTGAATTTGGCGCTTATGAGCTAAGCAATGTCCCGGATGTGACGCGCCATTCTGCCCGATGATCGTTTTTCAAAACCTTATATATAGTGCTTTTGAACAGCTTCGATCAGCGTTTTTATTTGATCCCTTTTGAGCCTATCCATTTATATATGATATGGTATCATTTCAAACCTATCTGGCTTTTTGTTAGTACAGATCTTTCCCTAGCATGGAAATCCCCTGTTCTTGTTGAACTTGCTATATTTGCTGATTTTGTAACAAGTACAATTGTTTCAGAAAGTAACAAAACTTACTAGCTAACAATTGGCAGGGTTTAAACAAGGACTTGGAATGTTTAATTGTTAGTTTGAACATCAATTTAGCGAGAGTGATACACTTGAGGAGCGAGCGCACGTATTTTTGGCACGAAATATCCTGCCAAAGCCACAGGAGTCATTAAGGGCTTGCTATAATACGAACTTTGACAAACTTTTTTTTCCTTTAGTGGTTCTGGGTGGTTCTGCCCCTTGAAAAAGAAACGGGGAAAAAACAACAGGTGGACCAACGTGCACCGGCAAGCAGACAGAAAAATAGACAGACAGACAGACAGACATACAATACAAACAAATATCTGTTATCTGTGGCAGTAACCTTTGGAAATAAAATCAATCAACACAGTCCGCAGGTCTTTCTGCATCTTTGGCGAAGAATAGGGTGTCCATACGACTTGCAGTGAGACTTCATCCTTTCACAATAGCTGGTCGGGAGCAGGTCTTTGCACGAGCCTTGCAAACACACAGAAATAACAAAACTGGGTTATATAAAATTTTCAATTATCTTATCAAAACAGAGTGCAAATAAGACTTCTAAAGACGGTTGAGGTAAGATAAAAACAGCGATAACATTAATTGTCCATCCATGCAACCAGACTGGTTACGCGAGCGATAACATTGTAATGATACCCCAACAATAGACCATACCCCGGCAAACGATTGATTATACCCCGATTGTATGCATGTTTTATTATCGTACTGACCTCGAGTCTCTATCATATTGTCAATCCACTCAACCAGACTGCTAACTCGCGCGAACACAGTGTAATGTTTCGGGGAACAATCTGCTCGTCCAAAGCTAACGACGCCTCGCAGGATCCATTGTCCACCTTCTAAACAAGCAAGTGGTCCACCACTATCACCTTGACAACCACCTTTTCCTTTTCCACCAGCACAGATCATTGTTTCACTGTGAAGCAGTTCTGGGAATACTTCACGACAGTTCTCTTCCTTGCCAATTGGAAGTTCTGCTTCCTGGAGGATGCTTGCTCCTCCTTTTTGTGTGTTTCCCCACCCTGAGGTCATAAAATATTGTTCTGCTGTTAAAAATATTGCAGATCGTGAAATAACGGATATGAATCTTCCTTCTTGACTTGTTGAGGGTGTTAGTCACCAAGCGAAACCTGACGGAATTACAAAGAATATAGAGGCTTTGCGCCATCACAGGAGGTATCAACAATTAAAATCTGAGTGTTTTTTTCTCATTAAAATTGAGAAACATGTAGTACTACAACTGGGGTACAACCTAGATACCGAGAACCAATCAAGTTATAGAATGAATTAGAAAACAATGCCAAGTTGAAACAATCAGAAACCTACCTGCACGAAAATGACAAGAGAACCAATTAAAATGTAGAATGAAAATAACGCATTCCAACTTTTTGTAGTCGAGCCAATCAGAAACCTGGTAATTTGACCCTGATGTTACACGTATACAACTAGATAGCCATCTTCGTTTTCTCGTGGGAATAAAAAGATGCGTGGATAGGCTACAGTTTCTAATTGGCTCCACTACCCAAAGATAGAATGTACTAAGTTCATTCTACAATTTGATTGATTCTTGCTGTCTAGGTGGCCTTGGTTGTAGTAGTCACAAATAAGTTTCCTAGGAAAAAAAGCTAGGACTCTATTCTCTACTTTCAAATCCCCATAATGCCTTGCGTCTTTGGGGGGTAAACAATCAAAAAACTGTCCCAAATTGAAAGGTTTCTTAATTGAATTTATACTATACCTGCTTTTATCTGTACAATACTGATTATCAGCTTATTCCAAGTTATTTTTGCGTATACAGATCATGAAGAGTTTTGGTCTGACAGAAAATGTATTGACTTACGAAAAAATAATTAAAATTTACCTTAAACGTCTTCAAGCTTCTATCTTTTTCCGTTTTTTACTTCTTCATTCATTTTTGGATACCAAACAAGATATTGTCAACCTTGTCTGATCAGCCTCCAGCAAGATAAGTGCGTTTTTGCCCTCTGGTTACCCCCCAAAGACGCAAAGTACTATGGGGATGTGAAAGTAGAGAATTGTTGTGCCTCCTGTTATGGGTGCCATCACTCGACGGTGTAAAGCCTTTATTTGTTTGTTAAACAAACTAACCTGTGATAAAGCAATTCACACCAACCTCAACCCTATTTCCTTGTTGGGGCAATTGAATGACATTAACTTTAGTTGTCAAGGGAACCGAGCCATTGAGCTGAAGAAGAGCGATATCGTTCCTCAAGTCGCTATTGTGGTATTCTTATTCATGCACTATCACTTGTTTAAGAGTAAAGCCCTTCTGTGCTTCGGTGGTTCCTTTGTTTTCATGGGCACCTTCATGGGAATAAAAGCATCAGTGACATGTCATAATAGTGGCGCTGGGGGAAGGTGAGGGGGAATTTATGTCTGGAATGTGAAACATCGAATTCTGACCAATCGCATGCGAGAATGAATTCATTTATATGTCTGGAATGTGAAACATCGAATTCTGACCAATCGCATGCGAAAATGAATTCATTTCTAATATATAGTCTTAGTTTGACTGTAAAGTAGAAAAATGAAATACCCTCTCATCTGCAATAGGCCATTTGCAGCAAATAGTCATGTACTAATATATCAGACGACAATCATCAACATGAATCATGCTTTCAATATCAGTGACGAAAGGCCTTAGAATAAGATGTCAAGAAGATTGACATTAGACTCCCCAAGCTTGGTACTACCATGACTATAAAAATATATTGCTCAGACTCTCCTAATCATCTATTTAATAAAAACCAAGTAACCTCTTACCTACTACTACTTGATAAATGGTTGGTGACGGATTCCATTCAACACAGTGAGCTGCAGTCAGGACCCACCCTGGTTTTATCAAAGAACCGCCGCACATGTGTTGTCCGTTCACACGTAGAGAAATCTGCCAAGGCCATTCGTGTGCTTCTGCGCTCTGTCCATTAATAACTCGCTTGTTAAGAATAAATTGCTTGTCAATACCTGAAGCAAGGACAAAAAACGAAGGTTCAAACACAAGTTTCTAGTTGCATTTTCTGGGTTTTCTCCACGTTCTCCGGTTTTATACTTGTTTGTTTCAAAAAGATCAAATTTTAATTTCAATTTAATCTGCGTGAAATGTTTAGTCGCGAGTCTCTGTTTCGGGAGCCGAGAACGAGATTAATCTCCTTCCGTCTTCGATGTAGAATAAGTTGCATCTACATTTTGCTAGCAAGCTTCACTAGACTCAAATTTTGAATCAGAAATTGCGTAGTTGAAGTCCCTTTTACAAGAAAATAAATATTTATCAATATATAACATCTCACCATTTTTACCGCTTAGAATTGATCGACCAAGTATTCCTTCGATTAAAAGAAACATCACGTATAGTATTGATTGGCTGTTCCCTTTCATGTCTTTAAAATCAGTATTGCTTCGCTTCAAAAGTCCCTCTAGTTTATGTTACTCCGCCTAACATTCGCTTAGCAGCTGGCGGAAACCGAGTTCCTTATTTATACTGACATATGAATCATACGTTTGAAACAATAACAGCAATAGAGTGGTTATGTAACCCCTCTCAAGGTACCATACAGAGTAATGTTTACAAAAGGTAACATTTGTAATAGTGTCTGTTCCTTTCTCGCTAATAACAATGCAATTGTTTTATCGGAACTAACAAAGCTTTTAAACCTCGCTCCCAGAGGTAATTAACATTAACATTACTAAGGTATGCAATTGTATATTTTCTTGATAATAGTATATCACTTGTTTTATCGGAATGAACAACGCTTTAAATCTCCCAGAGATAACACTAAGATTACTAAAGTGTGCAAGAGGCAAGAGTGCATATTCCTTGATAGTAGCAAATCACTTGCAATTGTTTTATCAGAATGAACAAAGTATTTAAACCTCTCCGAGGTAACACTAACATTTGTACTAAGGTATGCAAGTGTATATTCCTTGATGATAGTAAATCACTTGTTTTATCGGAATTAACAACGCCTTTAAACCTCCCGAAGGTAACACTAACATTTGTACTAAGGTATGCAAGTGTATATTCCTTGATAGTATCAAATCACTTGTATTATCGGAATGAACAACGCCTTTAAACCTCCCAAAGGTAACACTAACATTTGTACTAAGGTATGCAAGTGTATATTCCTTGATAATAGTAAATCACTTGTTTTATCGGAATGAACAACGCCTTTAAACCTCCCAAAGGTAACACTAACATTTGTACTAAGGTATGCAAGTGTATATTCCTTCGGATAATAGTAAATCACTTGTTTTATCGGAATGAACAACACCTTTAAACAACCCAGAAGTAACACTAACATTTGTACTAAGGTATGCAAGTGCATATTCCTTGATGATAGTAAATCACTTGTTTTATCGGAATTAACAACACCTTTAAACCTCCCAAAGGTAACACCAACATTTGTACTAAGGTATGCAAGTGTATATTCCTTTGCCAATAACAATGTATTGTTGTTCTATTGTTCTATTGACAGTAGCAATAACAACATTGTAACTGATATTTATCGACTCATTTACATGAAAACTTTATTGTGATGCTTTTTGTTTTACAATTGCAAATCTCGCTAATAACTAGGTAATTTGCAATCGGCTACTTGAATTAAAGATAAATTTAGTTTTACATGAAACGAAAGGCTTATAGCTCAAGA